TTAATTTAAAAGAGGGCTCAATATAGAGTGGAGCAATATTATTTATTTTAGGATATTAAAAATAACATGTAAAAATCACTACACAATTGCACTTGTGTTTCAACACATACCAATGTGTCTCCTCAGGCGATTATAAATTCCTGGCAAGTGAACAATTAATTTGGTTTCAAAAGCAAAATACATCCTCTTTTTTGAAAAAAAAAAAAAAGAGGTTATAAGGCTTGGGGGCTTTATGCTGATCAACCCATCAAATATGGCTGACATTAAATTCAAACTAAGCAAAGAAGAAAAATTAATAGTTTTTAGGAATGGGTCATCATCGGGAATTATTTGCTGATGGTAACCAGACATTAAATTAAAGATGACGTATTGGTATGTATTGAAACATGACTACAATTGTTTAGCGATTTTTAGAGGTTGTTTTAATATCCTAAAATAAATATATTTTTTTTATATAGAAATGGATTAAGTCCGACAGTTATTTAATGTTTTCTGTTTATTTATTATTTTTATAGATACAATTTATTTAAGTAAATGCTCTGTTTTTTAATTAAACAGTATTAATTACATTTACTAGCCGGAATGTTTGAGAAATTTAATAAAAAAATATGAGTTCTCTGACAGGAAACAAACCTCTATTCTTGTATGGAAACTGTTATTTGAATGTATAAAAATAACATATGAACAGAAAAAACTGTTATGTTGTTATATAACAACATAACAGTTACTAAATACACCAGAAATAATTTTATTATAGGAAAGCATTACGATTATTTATTAAACAAATACATAAAATTTTTTATTGCCTCTAATGATTCTATATATAGTGATACAATACTAAAAGCACCTATAGAAATGAACTGGAAATGATTTTACTAAATGAATGCATTACAATTATTTATTAAACAAATATGACAAAACTTTCTAATGATTCCATATAGAGTGACACAACAAATACTAAAGACCTTACGCCCACATCATGTTAAAACTCTAGTTCTTGTATGAACACTGAATTCAAGCAACATCAAGCCTAGTCAGTACCTAAATGCATGACTGCATGAGAACACCGGGTGTTGTAAGCTTGGATGTGCAGGTGGTGTAATGGATAATAACTCGGAATTGTTAATTGGAGAGCCAAATTTTAATTCTAGTTGGGTTTGTTATATTCACTTAAGTCAAATACCCTTGGGAAAGGTATATGAATCCACCTCTCCTGTCCCCAGCTATGGGTTAATTAGTAAGAGTTGTATCATTAACTCATTATTATCCCCCCCCCCAAAAAAAAGAAATTCTTAAAATCTAAAAATATTTTATGGCTTTAAATAACCTGCAAAGGGTTAATAAACTGTAGAAATCAAATCAATCAATCAAAAAATGACAAGATTCACATATGAGCCAATGTAAAATCACAAAGTCCCCTTCACTAACTACACTCATGTTTCGGAGACATAATGGTCCAATTTTTCAATAGTTCCAACTTGTATTAGATAGGTACCAGTTAGTATTACTCCAACAGACACTGACATCTCACTTTCAAGTCATTTTCGAGATTATATAGAAACAATTTTTTTTTTTTAAATTACACAAATGCATACATTTCTCCCTAAAGAGTGAGGTCAGTTTTGTAATATTTCCAATACACTGAATACTAACTTTTGAAAATTATGTTGTAAATGATGTATGTAAAATAAAAGTGAAATATAAGGGCTATCAAGAATGACAAGGTTTGTTTGGTTAAAAGTAAATCAAATTTTCCTTTATAGTGTTGCCAAAATTCAGGTAGATGGAACTTGTCAGCCTGAGAATGCAGTCTGTTTTGGTGAATAGGAAAACCCTGATTTTAAACCTCCACTGCCAAGTGCAGAAAAGGCTATGGAAGTAAATTCAAACAGAAAACTTGGTGTGGGGCCCCAAATGCAGTTGTCTGTCAACACTGATAAACTTTTGGCAACTCTTGCAGACAAGCTGACCCCAAATATAATACACATATTTTCCTTTGGATCTTGTCCATACAGCCAAAAGTTGGGGGATGGGCATGTAGTAAGGTTAGTACAGCCTCCATATCCCATCATCTTGACCTGTGTCTGGAGAGGTCACTCTAATATCACCACAAAAGGACTGAATTTTGACCAAACAGTATGCTACCATCATCTCGCAAGATAAACAGGGACATACTATAATGTTGCCAAAATTACCGGATTAAAATACAAGTAATGAAATTAGTTAAATTTAACTTTATTCACATGAGTAGCCCAAGTTACCCTAGTTTATTTTTCAAAAATAGCCTCCAAAAGTTGCAAATTTTCCTGGTTATGACAATAAACTACATCTGGCAGCAAGGACACTGATCAGAAGACTAGAGGTTTTAAGGAGTGTGGAACCAACTTTTAATTACTGCTGTTTCTGGATCCACCTTAATTTGGAGTAGTAACACCTGTTAGGGTCCCACTTATGGATGAATAGTAAATCCCAAAACTTAAATCATCAGTACATTTTTATAGTAAAATGACAATCAATACGATACTAAAAAAATAAAAGTATAAAAATACATTTTTGCAGTGAAATTACTAGCAATACATTTTCAAAATTATACTGATAATACATTTTATTATCTACAAACAAACACATGTTTACCCTGAAAGCATAAAATCATGTACAAATTATCTGAATTTGAAAGCATAAAATTACATACAAAATACATAGATTTTGGCATTAAATAACCCATAAGGGTTGATATGCTGTGAAAAAAAATCAGCCAACCAAAAGTTGCAAGTTTGAAAATTTAAAATTTTAATAACACTGAGCTTTCAAAAATATCAACTGTGATCTCACTTTAAGCCACTTTTAAGATTTTATAAACAATTTAAAAAAAAAAAAAAGAATACATTTCTGATTTAACCCTCTCACCCCAAAGAGAGACACCAATTTTATAATATTTTCAATGCACTAACCCAGTTGTTAAAAATTATCATTAAATGATGGATTTGTAATAAAAGTGAAAGATCTCAAAAACTGTCAAGAATTACAAGGTTTCTTTGATTAAAAATAGATTAAATTTTCTATTATAATAGTTTTCTTTAATCACTAAATTTTGAAGTTTTGTTCTTTTTAGTAGGATTTTTGGCAATAAAATCTTTCTTTGGCAATAAAATCTTTTCATTTTTCTCAAGTGTTTTCAGTAAAATCAGTCCTGTAACTGGTGATATGCCTTTAAATTGTATTTATAATTTTTTTCTTTTTGTTTCCAGGGTCAACCATCAAATGTACGCGTTTTTAAATATCCCAATATTAATGGTTGTCCAGTTGCCAACAAAAGTTTCTTCAAAGCTGATAAAACGTCTCTTCACTGGAACAAGTCTGGTAAGTATTTATTATTATTATTATTCATTCCAACCTTTAGACAGCTTCAGGCAAATGTATTGTTAATCTTTTCATGACCCCCCTTTCAGTTCCCAACCATACTGAGGTCTATGGTCATATGATTCTGTCAGAAAAATTGAATGATAGCACCAGGCCAATGAGATTTTCCATTTGATACATTTGTCCAATGATGGACTTCCCTGCTAGCAGAACTTAGATGTTGACTTCAACCTCTTCATAGGTGTTCTAACAACTGGATGCTTGCAGACTCAAGTGTAAATCTAACCAATGTTTCAGCATTGAATGACTCTGAAAGGATTGATATGTAAAAATCATCCAACCAATCCAATTAAAGAGATATTAGGAAATAGATCAGTCAAAAGGTGTGCTTGTCTTGTCTGGTTTTTACACATCCGCATGTTGAGAGTGATTCTCTCGGCCGAGAAAAACACTGGTGTTATATAGCTCTTCCAGTCTCAGACCCACGCTGACTATTGGCTAATGCCTGCCCAGTATCATTTATATGCAAATAGTCTGTGCCACCTACTCTAAATAGATCTCTCAACAGCCCATTGTGGAAGGGAATGCAACTCCTGGTGCTTACAGCAGCACATACAACCAACTTGGAGTCTTTTATCATGCAGACCTGATTCTCTGTTCCAAAATTTTTTTATTTTTTTTATTTTTTTTTAAACTTAATTTAATTTAAACAAATTTGGTAATGAATAAATCAGTCTTAATGAAAGCAAAATGGAAAACATGGATAATTTCCCTTACCCATGCGAGTGTGTTATCCTTTTATATGTTGGACCTAAAAGGAAAAAGACTAGCATTCAGTTTGATCTCCTTTTGTCTTGTTTTGGCTGAATTGGAAGTGATGTAGGTCAGTTCTCAGTGGTCATTTTCTATTTTCAAATCAACAGTTGTTCATATGAGCTGTTCGTTATTGTGTGCATGGTGGGTATTTGCTTCAGGATCACCTGCTGGAATAGGTATTGTTCCAGTAGGGTTGCTTGGACGAACAGGTATGATGATGAAAGACCTGAAATTTGTTATGACCCCAAGTCAATAACATCACTGATGAGGTGATCCTGTGCACCTGTTGGTGTGTATCATAACAAACAAACCCATATATACTAGAGAATATTATTCCTATTCTCATGTTATCTTTTTCCAGGCAATGGTCTCCTTGTTATCACTTCCACAGAGACATCAGCATCATCATATTATGGTGAAACTGGCCTGCATTATTTGAGTGTTAAGGGAGAAGGCTGTCTGGTGCCAAGAGGTGAGTGTTTTTTCACTTTTTTTTTTTTTTTTTTTTTTTTTTTTTTAATTATACATGCTTGCATTCATTTCATGATCCCTGATATTCCTTTTATTGAATTTTCAATGTGCAACATTTAGATTGAATGATAAATTTGCTCAAATTTTAGATAAAAACATTGCAGAAATCAGTGCTTAAATACGAGATGTTTTTTTCCTCAATACGGCCACAAATATTTAGTTTATTAATGTGGAACATGTCTAAGAGTAAATTGGTGGTTGTTTAGCGGAAAAGTTGGACAAAACCTTATCGATATTTTATTGTATTTTAATCTTCATTTATTTTCATTTACTATTTATTTTTTTCATTTTCTATTTCTTTTACATTTTCTTTTGATTTCTTTTACTTTTTCCTTTGTTTTCTTTTACTTTTTCCTTTGTTTTCTTTTACTTTTCCTTTGTTTTCTTTTACTTTTCCTTTGTTTTCTTTTACTTTTCCTTTGTTTTCTTTACTTTTTCCTTTTTTTCTTTTACTTTTCCTTTGTTTTTTTTTTTTTTCTTTTTTTTTTGTTTTTCTTTTATTTTTACTTTGTTTTCTTTTTTTTCTTTTTTTTACTTTTTCCTTTGTTTTCTTTTACTTTTCCTTTGTTTTCTTTTACTTTTCCTTTGTTGTTTTTTTTACTTTTTCCTTTGTTTTCTTTTACTTTTTCCTTTGTTTTTCTTTTACTTTTTTACTTTTTTTCCTTTGTTTTCTTTTTTTTTTTTACTTTTCCTTTGTTTTCTTTTACTTTTCCTTTGTTTCTTTTACTTTTTTTTCCTTTTACTTTTCCTTTCTTTTTCTTTTACTTTTCCTTTGTTTTCTTTTACTTTTCCTTTTGTTTTCTTTTACTTTTTCCTTTGTTTTCTTTTACTTTTCTTTGTTTCTTTTACTTTTCCTTTGTTTTTTTACTTTTCCTTTGTTTTCTTTTACTTTTCCTTTGTTTTCTTTTTTACTTTTCCTTTGTTTTCTTTTTACTTTTCCTTTGTTTTCTTTTACTTTTTTCCCTTTTACTTTTTCCTTTGACTTTTCCTTTGTTTTCTTTTACTTTTTCCTTTGTTTTCTTTTACTTTTTCCTTTGTTTTCTTTTACTTTTTCCTTTGTTTTCTTTTACTTTTTCCTTTGTTTTCTTTTACTTTTTCCTTTGTTTTCTTTTACTTTTTCCTTTGTTTTCTTTTACTTTTTCCTTTGTTTTCTTTTACTTTTTCATTTATTTACTTTCATTTTACCTTTGTCATGCCCCTTTAGGAAGTGGGGTATCATGGCTCACTAGAGATTCCTTTATTATCTGTGAATTGTCATGACTTCTTGAGAAAGCTAATGTAGTGGTTTCCTGTTGGATTCCTCATGGATTTGAATTCAAGGTATTCCTTCTAGACAGGTTGCTGTGCAAAGCTAGAGAGCCCAGTCTATTTTGCTATTTAATTCATAGCCAGAAAGGAGGAGGAGAAGAAATTGTGTGAAGTAAAAGCAATAGACAGACTAGATTGGAATTTGAACTAAGGTTACTGTTTCCATTTTCTGCACCAGTAACCGTTATACTATCTATACCTCTCCACATATATCGGGCTCAAATGTTGTTTGTGATTATTGTTTCACTATTCTCTCCACTGTCACCATATGTGTCTGATCACGAGTGAAAAAATGTTCATATACATTTGTTTAGGGAGTCTTACTGATGAAACTGGATTATCTGAAAGCATAAAGATAAAAATGCCAAGAAACAAGAACTTCTATGTTAGCTAATATTTTGTTGCTTATTTATAATGTTTCTCTGATCATGACAGTAAAGATTAAAAAATTAAAAAATAAGCTTCACTTGTTTGTTACCAGTAAATTGATGATCTACAAACATGTTTGCCAGATTTATTTTCATTCTTTCTTGATATGAATGTGTTTTGAAGATTTGGGATGAATTGAAATTGGAGTGGTGGTGGTGGTGGTGGTTGTTGTTTTTTTTTTTTTTTTTTTTTTTTTTTTTTTTAACAATTCAAAGTAGAAGAATTAATGATAAATTGTAAGAAGATATTCACAGAAAAAGAAAAGACACCATATGTAGCTGAATTGATGTAAGTGTAAGTTCTATGATAAGTTTCTTTTCTCGCACTTCTCACTTGTGGAATTCTCTTCCAGTCTCTTGCTTTTCAGTCAATTTTGATCTTCAAAGATTTAAATGCAACATCAATTGTTATCCTGTGTCTCCTTAACTGCTATTCTATTGTCCTCTCTCCTTAACTCCTGTTCTTCTATTGTCCTCTCTCTCCTGTAACTTCTGTTCTTCTATTGTATTGTCTCTCCTTAACTTCTGTTCTTCTATTGTCCCTCCTCTCCTTAACTATTTCTGTTCTAACTCCTGTTATTGTCCTCTCTCCTTAACTTCTGTTCTTCTGTCCTCTCTCCTTTCCTTCTATTGTCCTCTCTCCTTAACTCCTGTTCTTCTATTGTCCTCTCTCCTTAACTGTTCCTATTGTTCTTAACTTCTGTTCTTCTATTGTCCTCTCTCCTTAACTTCTGTTGTTCTATTGTCCTCTCTCCTTAACTCCTGTTGTTCTATTGTCCTCTCTCCTTAACTCCTGTTGTTCTATTGTCCTCTCTCCTTAACTCCTGTTCTTCTATTGTCCTCTCTCCTTAACTCCTGTTGTTCTATTGTCCTCTCTCCTTAACTTCTGTTCTTCTATTGTCCTCTCTCCTTAACTTCTGTTCTTCTATTGTCCTCTCTCCTTAACTCCTGTTGTTCTATTGTCCTCTCTCCTTAACTCCTGTTGTTCCATTGTCCTCTCCTTAACTCCTGTTGTCTATTGTCCTCTCCTTAACTCCTGTTGTCCTCTCTCCTTAACTCCTGTTGTCCTCTCTCCTTAACTCCTGTTGTCCTCTCTCCTTAACTCCTGTTGTCCTCTCTCCTTAACTCCTGTTGTCCCTCTCCTGTTTATTGTCCTCTCTCCTTAACTCCTGTTGTTCTATTGTCCTCTCTCCTTAACTCCTGTTGTCCTCTCTCCTTAACTCCTGTTGTCCTCTCTCCTTAACTCCTGTTGTCCTCTCTCCTTAACTCCTGTTGTCCTCTCTCCTTAACTCCTATTGTCCTCTCTCCTTAACTCCTATTGTCCTATTGTCCTCTCTCCTTAATAGTGTTTTTTTTTTCTCTCCTATTCTCTCACATTCAGTAACTCCTTGTGTCATAGCAGCTTTATTGTCTTGCTTGGGGTGAAATGATTAAAAAAAAACAGTTTGGGAAAATCCCTAATGTGTGCAGCTGTACTGGCCTACACTAGCCTAAATAGGGGTGATTAAACTTTTTTCTCTTAAGAATTCTTGAAAGGTGCTGATAATTAGGAATCTTGAAGACATTCAGATATCATAAAAGGAAATACCACCATAATTTAAAATTCTTTGATACTAAGACCTTGGAATTGCCACCCACAGGTTAACGGTTTATCACATTGTTCATGATCTGTAACCAGTAAAATAATTGGTGAGCAATCTGCAATAATTACTGCATTTTATTCCTGGTATTAATTGGTTAATTTTTATATCATTGAATAGAGGAAAGTATTGCTTCAGTGGAGTAATTGATAGCAGTTCAGATTTAGGAATCAGCGAGCCAAGTTTGAATTCCAGTCAAGTTCATTATATCCACTTACATGTGTCAAAAATGAATTTGACTGAAAAGACCAGCATGGTGATAGTTGGTGAATGACCGGGTTGCAAAAGAAAATGTCCTTTCTTTGCAACCCTCTCTGCTAGGGTCAGGTAACCACAGTAATAACAGACAGGAACAAAAATAACAATTTTTTTCGCTGTCAGCCAAAAAGGCCATGAGTATGAGTTGGAAGGATTTTTATAACATACCTCTGCCCTCACCTTTTCTGCCAATCTAAATGAAAGGCTACTAAAGCGGAGGAGAATGAGGTGTTCATGCCTTAGGACTCCTCAGTCGACATCGCTGCTCCACTCATGTAAGTCTATTCTTCATTATATTCACTTATATGTTAATACACTTGGAAAAGATATGAATCTATCTCTTCTCCCCCCAGCTATGGGTAAATAGCAGGACAGTGGGTCCTATAGCCTTGGGTGGCAACCAGCCTAAAAGGAAAACTCTGAATTAAAAACCTGCCTGGAGAGGGTTGAGCCTGCTCAGGAAACATCACTTACTGCAACTGCAGTACGTGTGGTGTCCCTACGACCCTAATGGGTTATGATCGTGGTTTCTTCAGTGTATTCTTTTATTGCTATCCATTTAGGTAATTAATTAGACAAGTGTGCTTTATTTAACTCAAATTACACAGAAGAATTGATATTTGACACAACTATATTCACATCTGTTGTTGCATAAGTCCACACCAGCTGAGTTCTTCAGACTGACAGACGCTTGCATGTGCCATTCATAAAGTTTTTCACCTTCTATATACACACACACACACACACTGTCATCTAAACTAAACCCCCCCCCACACACACACACACACACATTCGTTTTTCAGTTCTTATAGTCGTCCCATGTAATCAAGGCATGCAAATTAGTCAGCAGAACCATTGCTATTCAAAGGTGCATTCATCAAGTGGAGACAACCCAATCAGTTGTAAGCACTATACAGGCTCAAGGGAGTGAACTACGTGAAAAAAATTACTTCAACCACACTATATGAAAACTATCTAGAGTTTCTTGACCTGTTAGCTCAGGTGTATCAAACATGCAAACTTTTACATGCATCTTGGTGGCTCTCACAAATGTTTCTTTAACCGTGGTATATCAAGAAATTTGTCTGTGTTGGTGATGCAAATTATTAAAAACAGATTTTTTTTCAATTGGTATGATTAGATTGTTTATTCTATCTCAATGATTTTTTTGTTTTTGAATGTTGGCAACTATTTTTAACTTCCAGTTAATCATGTGATCATCCTTGACAACTAAATAAGAACAAATGTAAAATGAAAATGTTTATAATTTTGTAATATTTTGCCTTAAAATGTTGAATTCTACTTCATCTTGTAAAAAGAGAAAATTATCTGAAGAAGGACGGGTGTTTCAAGAAAAGTAGTAATTTGGTGCCACCGTTAATGGAAAAGATAAACTGTTTGATTTGCAACCACTGCATTGTAACACCAAAAGAATATAATGTGAAAAGACATTATGAAACAAATCATCGATCGTATGATAAATATGAAGGAGATATGTGTGTTTCAAAAGTGAAGGAATTTAAAGTTAAGTTAACACAGCAACAGAGATGCTTTACAAAAATTCAGAAAGGCAATGTTAGTTCTGTTACTGCAAGCTTTGAACTCTGCAAAATGATTTCTATCAGTGGAGAATCTTACAGTAAAGGAGATTTCATAAAGCGATGTCTTGTAAAAACAGCTGAAATTGTATGTCCAGAGAAGTCACACTTATTTCAAGACATTTCATTAAGCAGGAACACTATTGCTGAACGGATTGATGAAATGGCAGGTGATTTGAGTTGAAAGTTGAAGATTTTATCATCAAGTTTTGAACATTTTTCTATTGCTCTGGATGAGACTGTTGACATAGCTCGAATAGCACAGCTTGTTATTTTCATCAGGACTTGTGACAATGAATTTCAAATTTATGAAGAACTAATTGAACTGGTCTCAATGCATGATACAAGCCAGGACATTTTTGTGAAAGTTGAACAGCTTCTCCATGAGTTTGGCCTTAATTTGAGTAAACGTGTGTGTTTATCTACTGATGGTGCTGCCAGTATGGTTGGGAGACATAATGTTGTTGCCACCAAGTTAGGTACAAAAATAGAAAACATATATCCAGATTCAACATTCAAGCATTTTCACTGTATAATTCATCAACAAAACTTATGTTCTAAGATTTTAAAATTAGATTATGTGTCGAGTTTTGTCATAAAAGCAGTGAACTATATCAGAGGTTGTACTCTGCATCACTGTCAGTTTAGCCAGTTATTGGAAGATGTGAATAATCATTTCTACACAGAAGTTTGATGGCTTTCATGTCACAAGGTATTGAAAAGATTTTTTTTTATTGCAAAATGAAATTATGTTTTTGGAGATGAAGGGTCAAAGCACAGATGAATTGAAAGATGAAAGCTGGCTTCAAGATCCAGCTTTTTCAGTGGATATTACTGCCCATTTAAGTGACCTTAATTTGAAATTACAAGGTAAAAATAAGTTCATCACTCAGTTACATGATGATATCAAGTGTTTCATTGCAAAATTAGCTTTATTGAAGTCCCAGTTGTCACATGAAAACTTGATTCATTTTCCTATGTGCAAGGAGTTGAAAAAAAAATGCCAATTCTGAGTCTGTATTTATCTTTGCTAAGTATAACAATTACTTGGAATTGCTGTCAAAGGAATTTCAGCAAAGATTTTGTGATTTTTCATTGTGATCGGTTTGCATTATTCACTTTTGATGTTGCTCATGCAGAGGAAAGTCTACAGATGGAACTACTGGAAATGCAGACTGACTCAACACTCTAGGGAAAGTGCCTAGAAGTAGGGGTACCCAGATTTTTTTCGTACCTTCCTCGGACATTTAAGAACTTCAGAAAGTTTGCCACAAAGATTATGGCAATGTTTGGTTCCACATATGTCTGTGAGCAGTTATTTTTGTTTGTGAAGGCCACAAAAATCTCTCACAGAACCAGATTAACTGATGAACATTTGTCATTTTTGATCAAAGTGGGATTTACACAGACATTCCAAACTGATATGTCGAGAATATTTTGTCTAAAGTGATGTCAAACATCATGACAACATAAAAATGATTAAATTGTACTACCTTGTATTGTAAGCATTTTGTATTTAAAGTTTAGTTACCACTAGCTGTAATTAATGTAAGACTGTAAGCAGGTGTGGCTCTTGAGGCTGCAGACATGGCTGATGCGGCCCTCCATATGCCCTGAGTTGGATGTGCTTGTGTTAGCCTGTTTCGCTTCTAATAGACAAAGTAGAAGTTGTTTTAGTGGAAGTTTGTTTTTTATTACTGCTTATTTTTCTAAGTCTCTCTCTTACGTATATTGGGTTTTGCTCGGCTAAAGCAGTAATGAATTTGAAACCCAATTAAAAAGTAGGAGTTCATAGTGTATTTTTTTTTTTTAAGGCAAGATTTTTTTTCTTGTCTCAACAAATATTAATAATCAAATATATGCACAGAAATAATCTTTATGAAAATTGAAACAAATATTAAAATAATAAAATAGATTTCTAGTTATAGAAAATACTTTTCTTTAATTTTGTTTGTTGCATTTTTATAAAGCAAATATGAATAATAAATTTTTAGAATGTTAGATTAAATCAAAAACTATAACAAAGTAAATGTTCTGTTATTTTAAACATTTTAAATAATGATTTATACTTTGATTTCTGGTTTTAGTGAAGCCTTTTCCCACCATCAAAACAAATATAATCATTTTTTAGTCTCTACGTCTTCACGCAAAAAGTTTTCTTAAGGTGGCCAGCTTTTCATTCAGCACTTATGAAATTGAGTTGCTGATAGATATAAAAGATTAAACTATTAAAATGAAATTACCAATTAAAAGTAATTTTTATCTGACATTATATATAAAAAAACATGAGAAAGATAGTAGGCAAACTTAAGTAATACTAAAAAGGTAGCCAAGTAAGAGGATTTACACCACTTTTTTTATATTTATTCTTAAATTATGTATGACCAAGAAATTATTTAAACATTTTTTTTTCTTTTTAAGCCAAAGATGGTCCAGTATATCATGTGGAATGGAGCCCCAACAGTATGGAGTTCTGTGTTGTATATGGCTGTATCCTTTGTATATTTATTGTCATTTCATATCTTGTTCGCCTACAGAAATATGGTAACAACAAATATGCTTATATCTTTATTACTAAATTATCTATTCTGTTAATGTTATAAGACTTTTTTTTAATTCCTCCACTTTATATTTTCATTTAATGTGCAATGCTGATAAGACCAACCCATTCATTCAAACCTGCATGTTACATCAGAGATTCCATATTTTATACTTGGTTTGTTCTTGAAATCATAACTTGGAAAGCAATGAATCCACACTGTAGTGAAATTCATTCTTCACAACTTCCTTACTAAAGCTGTCTTTTCACAAGATTTCCATTATATCATCCTATGCTAATGTTAGGCAGGGTTTCTCCATCAGTGTTTACACTTGTATAAAAAACTTGAAAATATATTTACTTCCTGGTTGTCATGTAATTAAAGAATAAATTTCTTTTTCTTGCTAAGAAAGGTTTTGTTTATTTAGCAGCATATCAATTCCTTATGGGTCATTTAATGCCGAAACTTAATTTTCTTGGGTGCCTTAATAATTTCTTTTACAAAAAATGTATTGCTGGTAATATTTGTTTACTTTTTATTTTATTATTTTACTATGAAAATGTATTGTTGGCACTTTTACTATAAAATGTACTTTTATACTTTTATAGTGTTTTGACCCCAGTTTGGGGTTTAACTATTTGCCCAAAGCTGGGGCCCTAACAGGTGCTACCACCCTGGGTCAGGGTGGACCTGGGACCAAGAGTAATTAAGAAATGGTTCACATGCCTTAGAACCTCCTGATCAGAGACCTTGCTGCCAGATGTAGTTTATCATCATACCCAGGACAAGCTAAAAAAGGTCAATTGTATTGTTTGAAGTGGTGTTTCAGAGACAATTTTTAATTCTTCATCATCTACAATATTTATTAAGCAGTTATTTGCAAATAGAAACATAAATATTGATTCTTATCTTTCTTTTTATTTTCTTATCTTTCTATAGCATTTGTTTGTGAGTAAATGTTTACTCTAAGTGTTTATAGCAGATAATTGTAACTTTGTTTACATCAGTTTTGTTGATGTTTAGTTCTTGTTTCTGATTTGTGATTTGATTATACTGTCCCAATATTCCTTGACCTTTCCTGTTCAGTCATGCCTGCAAAAGCCACCATCTACAACCTCAAGTGTGATCCAGTTTTTGATTTTGGAACTGGACCCCGAAATGCAGCTTACTACAATCCACAAGGAAACAATATCCTTTCACATATGGGTTCCGGTTTAATAAGTTTTGTTTATGAAACCATATTCTTTGTTTCTTTTTATTTGTGTGTGTGAGGAGGGAGTGCCTATAAATGTGTGATGCTTGTTTGTTAGAGTGACCCCCTTCCATTTTGTTATCCCCCACCCACCTTTTGTTTCTTTTTAATTCCCTTCCTTTTTGTCACTTTTCCATCTTTTTTTTCCACCCCACTTTTTTTTCTTTTGTCTCAGTCTTTTTTGCCTTTTCTGTTTCTGCTCTCACCTTGTTTTTTTTTTTTTTCTCCTCCTTTACAAAATTAAAGCTTTTTCAACCCTATTTTTTTTTGTTTCCTTAACTCTTTTTACTTCTGTGTTTGGCTGGTTTTGGTAACTTGCAAGGTAATTTAGAGTTTTGGGATGTAAAACAAAAGAAGCTAATTAACACCTCAAAAGCAATGGATACAACTTATTTCTGCTGGTGTCCTGATGGGGAACATTTTATAACTGCCACCATGGCACCTCGACTCAGGGTCGGTAATGGGTAAGTAAAGAATTACCTACTTTGCCACAAAAGTAATTCTAAAAATATTGCAATGGATATTATTAAATCATTTTCATTTTTTTATGGTGACTATTCTTGTGTTCTTGATTTCAGATACAAACTATGGCATTATTCTGGAAGTATCCTTGCCCAGGTAGACACACCATCTGGTCAAGAATTGTGGGAGAGTTTGTGGTTGCCTGACATGGACAGAAAATATCCAGAAAAAGCTGTTAGCTATAAGAAAGCAACATCTACAGTTGCTGCAGTCAAAGAAGGTTTGTTATAAACATTCTTCTGGTTATAATTTCATTGCAATCATTCAACATTTATTTTTTACTTTGTTTGCTTGAATTCAATAGAATTACTCAAATGACTGCTCTATCAGTCTTAGATGTTTTATTATTGTTTTGTGTTTGCAATTTAGAAATATATGGTCTGGAGCCCCTTTTGCTTGTCTCAAGGTCCTTGATAAAATCGAAAGACGGATATGCAATGTAACTGACCCTGATCTGGCATCTTGTCTGCAGTTGCTCTCTCACAGACGTGCCGTCACCTCCCTCTCTCATTTTTACAAATACTTTCACGGTAACTGCTCCGATGACCTGCTTTCACTGGTTCCCAGAATTCATGAATTTAAACGTTCAACTAGGCTGGTATCTCGTTCTCACCCTTTCACTGTCGAAACTGTTAAATGTAGCTGTCTCTTCTGTTCCAATAGCTTCATGTATCACACTTCTCACCTGTGGAACTCCCTCCCCTTTTCCTGTTTCCCTTGCTATAATCTCCAACTACTCAATGATGAGCATATGTAGAATAGAGTGAGATTCACCCTAGACTTGAAGAGGTTGATATTGTAGTAATTAAATATCTGTTCAATAACATAACAGTTTTGAAGAAGTTGTCTGAGTGGAACTTCCATTTTATTAATAGAATATGAAGGAAATGAAGATGATTCAACTTTGTGTATGTGGCATGGTGAATTCTAGCTCTGAATATCTGAACTGGTGGAACAGAGAAATGTAGTTTGTCTTGAACATCTGCCATGAAAATAGAATTAGAGTAGTGAAAGGTTAGCAAGATTTTGTCTGGGGGGGGGATGTAGAGTGGAAAATAATCACCTACAAGGTTTCATAAGTAATTTTTGAAAAAGGGTCTAGAAAAATTGGATAGTACATATTTGCAATTTAGAAATATACTGAAGTAATGGTCCTAAGTTCTTTTAAATATCTAATTGAGTCATTTTCATTGTCAATTTTTGACTGGATTATCTTTCATGTTGCTGTCTTAGAAATAAAGAAGTGAGCTCTAATGAGATTTAAATTTTTCTCCCCTGTATCCTTGGGAGCCCATCTGACTTGGTCAAAGCCTTGTTACAGAGATCCACTGGCAGGCAGTTCAAATTTTGTCATATTGCTACATCCTTCTGTATCCAATTTTCTGCAAGCTTACAACCACATGTTGAAACACCAGATCCTATATCATCATCAAAGTCGAGCAATGTCATGCCTGGTTAGTACCTAGATGGGTAACCACTTGGGAACACCAGGTGCATTTTGATATTTGATCTTGTCAATTTGCACTGAAAACTTGGAAAGGGTCTTTTGCATGCTCACAAAGTAACAAGATGAAAGACAAACACGACATTGGGAAATAAGAATGCAAACTCTGTTTCTCATATCTCACGTGCTTACAGCCATAATTGAATTTGTATACCAAGCTCTTGATAACCATGGCAAAGCTCAAACTGTCACTCTAGATATCTCTAAGGCATTTAATAGGGTTTGGCATGTCAGTCTTCTACTTAAGCTTCAGGGATACAGATTTCCTGATAACTATAATCTTCAAAAATTTAAATGTAATGTCAATCAGCATCTTCGAATGCCTTGATCTTGATCTCTGTCCTTCTCTTTATCCTTTCCTCAAACACCTCTCATTACTTTTACTTTCACTTTCACTTTCTGTAACCCCCTTGTGTTCTAGTGCTATTCCCGCTTTGCTTGGAGTGAAATGCTTAAAAAGAATACAAGGATCTGGAGATTAAGAGGATGTGGAAAATGAAGACTGAGACTGTACCAATAGTAATTGGTCAGAGCTCTGGGCCTTGTGATAAAAGTAATATATATATATATATATATATATATATATATATATATATATATATATATATATATATATATATATTAGAGAAAGACTGCAAAACCTCTGTATTTGCTGGTGCTCTGCTTGTTGAGGCTATTCTGAAGGTCAGAGTTTTGTCTAGGGAGGTAGATAGACCTGATTCTGTTATTACAGGGAATTTTTGCTTGAGCATGTGGGCTCAGTATCTCCCCATGTTAAAAAATGGCCTTGTGCCACATCCTGCCTCGTGGGAAGGTCTTGGATAAATACTGAGAGAGAAAGAAAAATTGTTGTATGATGATGCAGGCTATTTTGTTTTAGTGAATAATTTATTCTTATGCGAATTTATAAACAATTTCATTATTCTTCAGGACGTGGGTAATCATGGCACTGTTTTGTTTTGATATTTTCTATATAACTGCTTTGAATGAGAAATCAATGCATCAAGTCGAATTCCAGTTGCGTTCGTTACATTTACTTATGCACAAATGCCCTTAGGGAAATTACGAATCAAACTCTGCTCCCCCATCTATGGATTAAATAGAACTTTTTTTCATCAGTCATCACAAAATCCCCAAGCATGCTTACAAACATAGAACAAAAAAGAAAGAAAACATCATTGGAACCAAATTGGTCAGTTAAAAACCCTGGCACATTACAGACTGACTCAGAATAGTGTTGCCTTTGATGTCTGCTGCTGGTGCAATGTCCAACTACATTCTGTATGACCAGTCTGACAGCTGACCACTCCTCTGACCAAGCTCAGTAGGGGGGAAACTGACTGATCACATTCAATATCACAAAAATCAAACTAGCAACGTTTCATCATCATCAACCCTTAAGCTCATCCCAGACCTAAATTCGAACTTGTATATATGATTCATCACTAAAGATACTGATAAAATGGATGGTCCCCTATATCGCTTCTGTAAGTACCTGACCCCTCCTGTTATCGTCTACCTTTACAAGAGCCTGATGAAGTCAAAAATGGAGTACTGCTGCCATATATGGACAGGGGCTGCTCAGTTTTCAATTCCCAGTCTCAATAGAGTACAAAAGTGTCTCCATGTCCTTGTGGGTGATGGATTATTTCCGACCCTACAATCCCTTTCCCCCATAGATGAAACATTGCAAATCCCTTGTTATTCTATCACTATTTCCACGGAAAGTATTCAAACTATATTCTTTAGTTCCACCAGTTCTAACATTCACAGCTAAAACCTGCCATGCACCTTGTAATGAAACCCCCCTCATTCCCTTCATATTTGATTGGTGAAATGTAAGTTCCACTTGAGCAGCAGCTTCCCACAAACCACTACCTTGTGGAACCGACTCCCAAGAGGATTATTCCCTGATCACTGCAATCTAGAATTGTTCAAATCTAGGTTTAACTATTTCCCTCTTACTCTGACTCTACCTTGAGTGGCTTTTAGGCCTTGTATCAGGTGAACATTTTGGAAAAAAAAAAACAAATATCCAATTTGTATTTTTCTTTATTTTGCACCAGTTTAGTATTTCTCTGCTTTCTCTAAAATAAACAAATCTGTGGTACTGAATCTGGAATAAGGATACACTTCTAATTTTTCTTACTGACTTTCTTTTAAAAAAAAAAAAATATTTTGATCAACTTTAGATTTGATATTACATGTGTTGGTAATATTTGATATGTTGGTCTTTCATCTCATTACATTGGTACTTCGATAGAGACTCAACGTTCATGACCACCAGTCTGTTGAACTAATCACTGGGAATTATTTTTCAACCAATTAGATGGTAGAAAATTAAATTATTTGGAATGATCTTATGGCTTCTTGCTTTTCCTGTCAATTACAATCTTCAAAAATTTAAATGCAATTTTCAATTGTTGTCATCTGTCTTTTTGAATCCTATTCTTTTATTGTCCTTCCTACTCAATAACATTTTCTCAGTTTCTTTCACACTTGTAATGCCTTGTCTTAGTGGCTTTATTGCCTTGGGATGAAATGATTTTTACACACAATCTTTTTCATCAGTTCTGAAATCTTGATTATTCTTTTCATGAAGGCACAACAGATACAGAATAATTTAAAAAGATGAAAGAACTAGAAAAAAATTTTTTTTTCCAAATTCTTTTCAAATTTAAATAATTTCTTTAATAATTTGAGAAAGCCAAAATATCTTGCTGGAATTGCATAAACACAAATGTTTCTGACAGTTTTAAGTTACCTGAATATTTAGCGAAAGTATTTCCATTATTCGTTTTTCAACTTTTTTCTTTTTTTTTCTTTCATCATGCTACTGCTTTTTATCGGAATATTGCAGCTGTTACACTCAACATCCATTAAAACACGCTTTAATGGTTGTAGAGTGTAACAACTTCAATATTCTGATAAAAAGCATTCACACATCAAATCCTACAAGCATAGCTCATTGCTTTAATTGATTTGACCCTGAGTTGTATAGGTACTCAATGTGTTTCCAGTTCATGCTGCCTGCTTTAAAGCTAATCAACAATTAATAAATTACCCGTATTTTTCATACTGTCATGGAAGTAAAATCATGTTTTTATGCATCAGCTTCATTTTTAAAATTGCCAGCGTACATTTCAAAAGAATCTTTAATAATAACATGAAAAGCACTTAATGAAAATACTTCATTTAATAATTTAGGTAATTTCAGGTTATTGTTCTTGCTTAATCATAAGCAAAAAATATGGTGTGAATAATTAGATGAGAAATATCTATCTATCTATCTATCTATCTATCTATCTATCTATATATATATATATATATATATATATATATATATATATATATATAGATTTGTTTTCAGCAAGCAGTTAACCACTGTGGTTGAAATGGTTAAAAGCAATGACCCTGTTAGCATGTTCCCAGGATATGAAATGCAAGTTCAAGACTCGTGGAAGATTATTATTTCTGTTTATTTTAATCGGTATGGAGTATTGTGATGAAAAGATGCAAAAGTCAGATGAAAGAAAGACTAATCAACAATTAATAATGAAAATACTTGCTCTAAGAATTCAGGTAATTTCAGATTATTGTTCTTACTTAATCGTAGACAAATATTATGGTGTGAATAATTAGATGAGAAATATCTGATAATCCTGTTATAGTAAAATGTAATATTACTTTTTTGAATGAATTCCATTTTTTTTTCTTTCCTTCCTTTTGCAGCCAAGCCTGTTGCTGCATATAGGCCTCCTCATGCACGTAATCAGGTCTCCTCGACTTCCACTAAATTACATGACTATGAACCACCTTCAAACATGAAAAAAATCCCAGGACTTGGTAAGTTTTAATTATTTCTCTAAACAGTTTATCACGGGAAATTGAATGTAATTTTTGGATGAGTTGTGTCTGAAATATTAGAGAAAAATCCAAGATAACCAACACATTGTATGATGATAACCATTGTTTCTTAAAACACTGAATGCCATGTGACCCATCATAATCAATTAAATCTTTATCATATTGTAGAAATTTTGGCAAAGTTGAACCTTCATAACTGAAATAAAAAAAACCTTCAAAAAAATGATGTAGCAAAAGGACTGTTTTTCCCTTGACACTGCTATTATTTTAATTATTTTCACTCACTCAGAATTATTTATTGTTTTAAAAAGCAATGATTAGAATTGTAAATTGTAATAAACATATTATGGAGGTGAATTTTATACATTTTTTTTGTTCTTGAGAATTTACAACAAAAATATTAAACACTATTTGTTAGATTGTTTATTTACAAGAATAATTTTATATTTACAATATGAACCAAAACAATGCAATGTTTATCATTTGTCAATTTATAACAAGAAAAAAAATTTTTATAAAACAAAGTATGTAAGATGGAATATGTAAAAACAAGTTGGATGTTCAATTTTTATTTTAACATTTCGTTTGTTAAGAACATCATCAGAACAACTTAAGAAAATAGGAAAAAAATTATTATCGTGGTAGCCTTTTCTGCCTCTCTCTCTCTCTCTCTATATATATATATATATATATATATATATATATATACACACACACACACACATGATGGAGTAGTGAATAGCGGCTCGGATTGAGGAATCAGAGAGCTAAGTTTGAATCCATTATATTCACTTGTGTGCTAATACCATTGGGAAAGGTATTAATCCTCTTTTCTCCCTCCAGCTGTGGGTAAATAGCAGGATGGAGTGGATTCTATATCCTTAGATGGCAACTGGTCTAGGTGAAGGACAACTCTGATTTCAAAAACCTGAAGAGGGTCGTTTGGGGAATCTCTGTATTCGGCCCTTCAAAAAGTGAGGTTGGTTCTGCACAAAGCCTTCACCACCATAATCAAACCATATGTGCTGGTGTCTGAGCTGTTGGTTCCTAGGAACTGAACTGCTTGACCCTCATATGCTAAATATGATGGGAGAGTCCACCATATGTCTTGATATCTAAAAAAAAGTATTTTTAAATTCAATTGACAATGTCTGTTTTAAGTTTGGTTGCATTTTTCCAATTTTTGAATAAGATGTACATCAGGATCAATTTGAAGATAAATTGTTTTCTGTTTTTTTTACTTTCATTATTAAGAACTAGCAGTTGCCAGTATGGCAGAGAAGATTTTGTTGACTATATTCTGTATAACACTTAACCTGCTGGTTGATTCTGGGTCAGCCTGGTCAGCAGTGACCAGACATTCTGACCCCTGTCACATGCCACCGATACCAGAAGATGTCTTGGTCCTAGGACCACTAGTTGATTGCAGGGTCAATCTCATGCTGTCCATACTGTTGCTGGTCAACAGTCATCAGTCACTGTCCATTTCAATTCAGACCTTGCTCTACCCATGTGTTTCCTTGATTAGAGTTGGTGGGTATCAATTAATCATCAGTATCATAGCATTTATTCAAACTACGGTGAGATTGTGCTATGATGGAAAAAGAAATAGAAAAGTCTTTGCAGACAAAATAAAAACAAAAAAGTCTTTGAGTTAATTTTTGATTTGGTTTATGTAGTTCTTGATATAACAAAAATGAACACTTTCCACTAAAATCTTCTTAGTGACATTTTGCCTATCAGTGTGAATTCTTTCAACAGGGCTCAAAATCCAGAATTCTTTTGACAGCAGGTCATGTGGATTTCAGCAGCTCCTTCATCTGTCATTGTTTGGTTTCATTTGTGACTCTCAGTATCTTTGGCTCCAACTGTCTAGGTCACTCAAGCACTTGGCTTGTATTGAATTTGACTCAAAATTGGAGTGGAGGCTAACAGTGCTTGAGAATTTGGGGTTTCTCCAGGTTTCTGTATCGATTTAAACAAAGATTCTTTGTTGTCTGGTTTGTAATATTAATTAACTCTCTAAATTTGGGAGATCTCCTTTTACAAGTAGTGGTTTCAGGTATTGGCCCACCCATATAACTCATTCCTTCTCTTATCTATGCCTCACACCATTATTTCCAAATAGGCAAAGATAATTTTTCTATCTCTCTTGGTATCTCATCTAAGCTTGCCACTTCAGCTGTCTTTTTGACAACTCTTTCAAACTGTGTGTCCGAAAAGGCAGTCTTAACTTTTAGCCATTAATTGTAATTATCTTTATTAATTTTCAACAACTGGTTTTGTTTACACACTCAGCTTGTTCACTTAATAGCACTCATTAACCTCACAGGTTCATTTACTATCTGAATTTCTTCAATGCAGGATAAAATCCTATTTCTTGACTTGTTTACATGTCCAAAACTGGCAAAGCCATTTCCACTTGCTGACAGACAGGCATAAGTCAGTCTCTTGATTCCATCTTTGTCCTCAAAATTATTAAATATTATACTCAATTGACTCTTTCTACCTGGTAATCATTTATGTTTTCCTCACTTGCACTTTAGTAAGCAGTCATAAATTAATTTCTCTATTTCTGCCTTGTTTAGCAAAATTCTCAACTGACTTTGAATATATTTTCACTATTTCTCCCAACCCATGTTGGTTTATGTTGAAGCTTGAATAAGCATGGAATAATAATAATACAACACAAAATGTACGTAACAAAATGTATTGAAACAATGAAAAAAGGTACACAATATTTACAGGTAGTTTTGGTATATTCTTGGGAAGACTGTTCCTGCAGAATGGGTTGACTAAGTCGCAGTCGGGCAGAGTCTCTGGATTCGATCTCTTAATCTTTCGTCGTCTTCCGGTACCAACCCATATTTATATGGTCGGTACTCCACTTATGTAAATTAGGTGTATCATACACAACAGTTTAAATTTTCCAAATGGCTCTTCGATAATATCCTTTCATAAAACAGTCATTTTCCTCAAGTTGTCTCTGCTTTCTATTTTCACTTTGTTGTTCTGGATTTTTAACCCTTTTCGGCTGTTCCAAGTCATATTCTAAATTAACCCTTTTCCTTTTTACCACTGCCACACATGGAGCTAGACTGCACTGGAATAGAATGTATCAAACAATTAAACATATTATTTTTTCATATACATATTAAATATTTTATACACACTAATCTCCCGTGGTGAGACATATTTAGTGTAGGTTGTTTTTGTATAATAATAGCATCAAGTATTTTGAGTCTTTCCTTGCAGTGAGCACTCTATAATATTTTGGATTTATCTTCTAATATTTGTCTCATGTTAATAGTTGCATTTTGGTTGTTTGTGATTTAAGGATTGAAGCAAGGGTATTATGGAGTAGCTGTAAAGCAAGTAGGCAATGTTAATCAAAATCTTGGTTCAAATGCAGTCAACATTAAAATACACAACCATAAATATTAAATTATTTTCTGTTGCCACACAGATTTGCTGTTTCCTTATAAATGTAATGAATTTAACAGATGAAAGTTTTAACATGTCCATTTAATAAATCCTACCTATGATATCATGGGTTACATGAACAGCTAGTTTAAAATTATTAATGAATAATATTAATGATTGTACTTATTTAGCTTTGAATTTCAAAGTACAGTTTTTATTTATTTATTTATATATTTTTAAAGATTTCTTTATCATCTCTTTTTAGATACAAGTGCTATTCCAACCAAAAACCAAAAGAAAAAAGGAAACCAAAAACAGAAAGCACAAAATCAGGTAGAAAATCTTAGTATCACCAGAATTTGCATGTAGCTATGTTACCCAATTTTTTTTCTTTAAATAGAACTCTCTTAGTATTTTATCAGTACTTTGCTTTATTGTAAGAATTTTTTTTCAGTCACAATTTTAGTACAATTTAATAAATAATTTTTAATCATGAAACCAAGAACTTACACTGATGAGACAAGTTCCTGTCAAGTTTCAACTAACTAAATTACATAGTTAATTTATATGACTTCTTGTTAGTCAAACAAGTCCAAATTGTACCATTAAGCAAAAACGTCTCATCATAGATCTTCCAAAATTTTTCATATCTGCAGTTTTGTACCCAAATGTAAACAAAGCAAATTTTAGAAAGTAATGGAGTTTTTATTAATCCAACATATTTTTTATCACTTGAAACTTATTTTAGTGGATACTAATATTTAAGTAGACGCACTGTTTATTTATTAAACATTATATTTATTATCATCTACCAGTCTGAATGTTTGAAAATTGAATGAGTGTTTTTTAAGAAGTGGCTCCTACTTTTGATTGGTAGGTTTAAGGTGAAAATAATAAGTGTTTTATCCTTGCTTTGTTTGTTGTCATTGCAGACTCAGCAATTTAATATTCCTGGCTTGGCCCCAGTGCAACCATCTGATGCAGAAAAAGAAGAACAAGATAAAGAGAAAAGGAAGAAGAATCTGAAAAAGGTAATAAAAGAAGGACCATAATTCTTTCTTTCTTTTTCGTTCATGGTTTGTTGTAATATACAGCAAGAGTGTATTGAGGTTGGGGGTAACACCTAACTGAGTTCTCTCCCAAGAACTACAAGGGTAATAGGTGGAGAGGGGAAAGAGATGGGAATTACACTGCCTCAGAAACCTCTTCTTAAGCCGAAGTGTGCCTCGACCAGTTAAGCCATGGAAGCTTCACAAGACTCTGAGTCTTGTCAGTTGCTGACTGCTGGTTTTCCCATTCCTTTTATTGACATGAGGCATCTTACAAAGACCCAGATCTTGAACATTTACAGAGAGGCCCATATCTAGACATGCCAAGCTGTCCTGCTTTTAACTGGGAAAACCTGGATGTAACTGATTCAGGGCCTCTTTTGTGTCTATACCAACACGCGCTTGCCACAAGGTTGTCCTTTGGGACTGGAGAAGACTGTCTTGCAATTTCATAAGTGGATCTGGAGTATTTTTCAAAACAGACCTGTACAGGAAGAATGTATAGTAGAGAAAATAGTTGTATTGGAGTAATCCCACTCTCTCAGCCTGCCAAGTCTTTATCTGGTGGTGGCATGAAGGACTGTTATAATTGGAAATCTCCAGGTTGCAGTAGATGACTAGGACTTCTAGATGTCATGTCCATTATCATCACAATAAAGATGAGGACTAGAGTCTGAGTGTAAATAATCTAAATAATGATAACTCCTCATCTTAGAAATTAAGATTGAAATTATCAAATTGGTAGGGACCCAATGCATTTTTTTAGTTTAACCCTTTAAGCCCTGTGTTCCTGGACAATTTTAACCCTTCTGCCAGAGCTCCTGAGTTAAAGTTTAATTACTTGCTGTGCTGTATAGAGTCCTTTTCTTGCATGTTTTGTCCCTGATTGCTTCCCTGATGGTCCAGGTTGAGACTCTGCATGCTTCATGGTAAAAACGATCTTTTTTTATCCAAAACACATGCACAAAACACAATGAAAAGGCATGTTGGTATAATGTTTGATGACATCAGAATATTACAGCTTTTTCTGATTGGCTCTTCAAAATAAGACAACCAATAACAAAACACAATGCAAGTGTTTACCCACTATTCAACCGTTGGCTGGGCATTAAGTCATTTTTCGCTACCACCGGTAAAGCAGTGGTCAGGGCTCAAAGGGTTAATATATACATATCAACTTTTTAATATTGATTTCAAGAATATAATTTAAAAAGAATTTCCCTATTATAAAATGCACAAATAATTTTCTATCAAATTTTATTTAAAAACAAAAATTTGAAGCTTTTGCATTGTAAGCCAGAAACGGTTTTTTCAGTCACTTTTATTTTTTTTTAGTTAAATTTAAATTTTTTTTAATTTTTTAAAATTTTTTTTAGAAATTGACACAGATCAATAAACTGAAGGAACAATTAAAAAATGGCAAGAAACTGGACAATGGTCAGGTAAGAGAGAAATGAGATATGATTAAACATTTTTGTTGTTGTTATATGTTTTTTTGATCTCATATATATATATATATATATATATATATATATATATATATATATATAGTGGTGTCCAAAATTAAGAAACAAAAATTAAAACAAATGATATCTCAAAAAATATGAGTCCAATTTTTCTGAAATTTTCACTAAATGTAGACAAATGGCAGTTGTATTTTAAATCTGTAAATTATTTGGAATGAGAGAGAGAGCTATGATTCATTTTGATTCTTTACTCAAATATCAAGTTTCTGAAATTAAGGAACAAAACAATGTTTTTAATAAAATAATTGAATAAAAATGCAAAAAAGTCTTATCAATATTTACTGCTAAGACCCTTGTTTTGAATCACTGCTGCATCACAGGATTTCACTAAACTTTGACATGCATCACCTGTAATTTTAGCCCATTCCTCCTGTAAATTTTCCCCATAGATCTTCGACATTTGATGGATTCCTAGCCATGACATTTTGTCCTAAAGTGTTCCATAAGTTTTCTCTGGGAGTCATGTCAGGATTTTGAGCCAGCCAATCCATAACATTTATTCTTTGGTTGTTCAGATAAGCAATAACCTCTGCCGATTCAAGTTCTTAAGTTAATATTTTGATTTTGTAGCATCTCTCCTTATAACTCCCCCATCACAGACTACCCTATATTCAGTTTTCTTATTTTCTATACAAAATTTGTTAGAACTGATCTATACACTAAAGTATTTGGAGCAGTGGTTCCCAAATGGTGTGGAGCACCTCATATGTGCAATAGAAGATGATAGCAGGTGAGGCGGAACAAAGATTTAGAAATAGTTTTTTAAAAATTCATATGCCAAAAATAAATATGATTTCAGAATTTTGAATATTATTATGGATTACTTGTAATTGCATGCATGAGTCCCAGTATAAATAGTTATAAATAATTACTGATTGATCGACTCCGCAGTTATCTCCCTTTAAGCCTCCCTCTCTCTCTTTTCTTTTCTATTTTTTTTTTTTTTTTTTATATATATATATTTTTAAATGTACTATTTATCATATAAAACTTGGTGAGGTGCAAGCAAATTCTAATTCTGAAAATTGCAGCCCAGAGAAAAAACGTTTTGGAACCACTGGTTTACATTTTATTAATTCCACATTCCAATATTTTTTTTATAGATTCAGGATGCATCAACAATGCTTTCATTCCAATTTTTTTTTTTTTTCTTTCTTTTTTTTTTTTTTTTTGGTTCAAGATCATTCTTATCATAACTCTGGATGCTTATGTCATCAGCATAGATATGGAGGAGAAACAAGAACAATGTCTTCTATTAGTAGATTTATTTTTGGGATGCACATCTATGCTTGTATACACACACACACACACACAGCAAAATCTAGGAAGAGATTAAATAGATTGGGACTCTCATTTCCTACTTGTTGTACTATTGATGAATTTGTAATGATTCAGTGTTTGGGTCTTCACCGGACATATAAAATTATGTAGATCAATAAAGTTCTATCAGATCAGCTGGTATTGCTAAGCAGTCACCCATCTAGATACTGTGTTCAACATTGCTTAACTTCAGTGATCAGACAAGAAACGTTGTCTCAATGTAATATGGCTATATGCCCAAGTTCTGATCAGTTCTGGCCATTTATATACTTTTTTTTTTCTTTTTAAGAAGTGTTTTTTTTTTTTTTTTTTTTTTTTTTTTATTTATCCACAAATTTTCTGGATATTCTTAGTTAATCTCATTGAAACAAGGATGTTGATTATCTCCCTTAGACAAAACAAAAACCAACACAGAAAATCTTTTGTCTGTTATAAATTGCTCTTGTTTTTTTTGCTTTAATTTTTGGGTCCATTTACAGATTTATTTAAAATATATGGGAACAATTTTTTTCTTTTTTTTTTGTGAATCATTCTTTAAGTCATTAGCACTTAACAACTCTAACTATAATGTGAATTAATAAGAGGGGATAGTAAACACTAATATAAAGTTCTACCAATTTAAACTTCAAAATAAAACTATTTTATATCTAGTCTTAGATATTTATCAAAAAAACTGAAATCATGACTTTTGAGAAGAAAAAGTTAAAACCTACAAAAGTAAATGATATATGATTACTTGTATCTATATAAGTTGGTATATTTGATAAATTCTTAAGTATACAAGACACAATTTTTTTTTCTCTTTTCAAAAGGGATAAATTTTTATTAAAATTTAAACTTATTTCTCATTTAATTAACTAAATCAGTGTTCAACAACATTTAACTTAGTCTAATTTAGGCTTTTCTATAGTTTCCTGTAGAATTATTTTAGAACTTAAATCTTTCTTTGTAATTTGAAACTGAAATGATTTTGCTTTTCTTTCTTTTACAGTTGGAAAAAATCTCCAAATATGATGAAATACTTAAGTTAGTCAAGGACCTTGAAGTGAGCTGATAATCATGGCTGATATTTGCTGACCTCAGTGTTTGGTCAAAAACTTGATGCCTCCAACCCAGTCCTTTCCTCCCCCATTAAAATGGTAATGCTGCCTAAATACTCCCTGACCCTGTAAGAAGGGCTCGTCTTCTCTACCCTGACCAAATATTCAAAGTATGGGACTTCAACATTTATGTTATCATGAAAATTTTTGGCATAAAACATTTTTTATTCCAAACATGCATCTTTTGTTTACTTCTATTTTTGAGTCTGCTGTTGAGATCTGGACAAAACTCATTTTGTTTTGTATGACAAAATGACAGTCTGAGAGTGTATGTTTGTAAACATCCTGACTTAATCGTTTTGCAGAAGATTACATCTAACCTATAAGTCATCATTCTATTCCACAATCTTTATCACTACCATAAAGCTTCTCTCTTTCTGACTTCTACTGTCAGTGATTAACACCATGTATAAAGCTGTGATAAAAAGCAGTAATGAAAGTAACTACTAGTCAAAATTTAATAATAACGGTTGAAAATGCTTCATCTCATTAAAAAAATAAAGCTAATATTCCTGTTATTAACAATGTGAAAAAACATACAGAATTAAGTTAGATTTGGTCTTTTGCAATTGATTGATTTTTATGTCTTATCAACCCTTTGTGGGTTAGGTTTTAAAACTGAAACATTTGTAATTTTTTTTTTTTTTTTTTTTTTTTTTGGCAAGTGAATATTGCATTAACAATTTTTGGGAGAAAACAATGATCTTTTTCAGATACGTCCTACTATTTAACTCATAGCTGGAGGAGAAGAGATGGATTCATACCTTTACCAAGGCTATTTGCACATAACTGAATGTAGCACTTTGAACATGACTCACTGATTTCTCATTGTGAACTTATTATACCACCTGTACATCCACTGATCTTTTGCAAACCTTTCAAATTCTTGTAGTTTAGTAGTTGGATGTTTGCTTGAAGCAAGGGTTGGGGGATAATCCCATGACTGATAATTTCAATAAGAGCTTATTTATTTCCAATATGGCACTGTCTACTCAGTACTGTGGATTGACACCATGAGTTAAAAGTTGTAATAAAAAGCAACTTAAAATTTAATATGAAAGTTTAATACTGGTTAAAATGAGAAATAGTAGAGCAGGAAACTTTTTTTTTTTTTTTTTTTTTGTTAATCATTTCACCTCAAGCAAGGTGATAAAGCCACTAAGATGCAGTGAGAGGCTGAGTGTAAAAGAATCAGAAAAAAAGCATTAAGGAGAGAGGACAATAAAAGAACAGGAATTAAGAAGACAGAAGATGAAAATGAAGATGAAAACACTGCATTTAAATTTTTAAAAATCAAAGTTGACTGGAAAGCATAAAGTCGGAAAAGATTAATTACAAGTGAAAAGTGCAGGGGAAGAAACTTAGAATAGAACTTATGGTTACATTTAGCCATTTCAATTATAAAATGAGAGCTTGCTGTCAATATACTACTGTGCTTGAATTCATGAAGTCTATGTACCTATGAGGAAAGCTCATCAGAACAATTACCATGAATTATTTCAGTGGTGTCGAGTCAGCATAGTATTTAGCATACAGCAAATTTAAGTTTGTTCTTTTGAGATTTTTCTGAAAGTTTTTCTTAATGGTTGACTGTGGGTATATGAAGGGGTCAACTGGATTTATATTTTGTGAATAGTGAAAATTTTTATAAGTTTTTTTTCAAGTTTATTGCAAAAAGATTTTTTTTTTTCCTTTTTCTTTTCATGTGAGAGGGTGCTGGAAAGTTCAAAACCTGCTGAAGCTGGGATAAAAAAAATTGTTTGGTCAAATTGGGTTTCTTTTTCTTTTTTGTTCCAGCATCTATTTGTAGAATATAATGCCTGTATTAAGGCAATCTTTGACCAGTCATGTTAAATCTGAATTAAAGTAAAAAAAAATCATGGTTTTAGTGTTGCAATGTGGATACAAGTTCCAAGAATTTTTATCCACATTTTTCTTTAATAAAAATTCTGGTGACTTTTGCACATATTTAGTACATTTTATAAACAAACAAAAACATTTCATTTTTGTTAAAACCTTGTTGTCCAAATGTCATTTTAATTATCAAAAAGAAAAAGTGGTATTAAAATTGAACTAGAGCAGTAAATGTTGCGTTTTTGGGCAACATTAAAAAAAAAAAAATTATACAAATTATTTTACACATGAAGCAAACGCAAAGAATGTTATGAGAAAGCCATATTGCAAAACGTTTTTAAACATTCATGTCAAAGTCTGGCTAACCTCAAGTTGTACATTTTGCCAGGCTGATAATCTATCATCTGCTTATACTAAGATCAGACTATTCACAAGCAGAAAATAGAAGTTTACTCCAGTTTCACATGTTAAAATGCCTATGGTATCATTTTGGTTGCTAAATTGGTATCTTAATATAGACATTGATTTCCTCAAACTGAAAGAAGAATGTTTTGCAAACCACAAACGCCTTTTGTAGTACATATGATATAAGACACCAGTGCCATCTGGTGAACAACTGTGAAACTATAGTTGTTAAGATGGCTTTTTGTAAATCAATTTTTGTGTTCAGGCTTTTTAGAGTTAATGGCATCTGAGACTAGCTTACTAAACAGTCTCACTGTAAATTGACTTGGTTCTTTCCAGGTGTTCACCAAATGTAGCCATAAACCATGTGACATACTTGGTTTAAATGAAGAATTGGAGGTCGTCTGCTGTGCAAAGTGGCGTCATGGTTACTGCAAGGAGAATGGAATTGTTTGGCAGAGTTTAACTTTTAGTCAAGTTTGCTTGCATTCATTTTCCATGAATGTCTTTAAAGCATAAATCTGCTTATTCCCTTTCCCCAGCTATGGTTAAATAGCAGGACAGTCTGAGTTCATTAATCTTGGTTGGGAAACCAGTCGAGGAGGAGGAGGAGGACAACTGATTCCAAATCAAGAGGGGGGTCTGGAAGGCAGATGGTTGGTTGGTTTTTCTTATCTGGTCATTTCTGTAGCCAAATAGCTACTGGTTGTAATATCTCATTGTAACACTGGTGGCTGAGAGAGTGGGATTGTTTCTCTGCAAGAACATTCCCAACATGAAAAAAAAAATATTCACTTACAGACTGCTGAGCACACCTACAGACATTGAAATGTTTGTCTCAACCAAGGATAGAGTTCATGGTAGAGGTTTTGGTAATCACTCATGGACATACAAATAAATAACCTAGTGAATGAAAACATTGGTTTGAGAATTTGGTAACAGTAATTGTGAGTTCAATTCCTGGATCAGGCAGTGTGTACTTAGACTCATTGAAAACAGGGTGAGCAATAATTGAGCAGTACTAAAAATAAGAATTAGATGACATATTTCCTAGATATGGGTAGTGGAATGAGAACATTCTACTCTCATAGATTAAATAAAGGGTTCAGTTTGGAATTCTCTGTAAATTACCTTTTTTGGAAGAAGGTTGGAAAATCAATGAAATATGACAACGACAGATGAGGACAATAGTCCACATATAGTGTAAATAATGATAACTCATCATCCTAGAAATTCATTCAAACGAGGTTTTTGGTATTTAAAACCATTTCTCTCTTTCAATAGATGTGAATATATTGTATTTTTTGTTTTGATTTTTTTCAAGTTGTCTTGTCAAACCTTTCCAAATTCTTTTTTTTTCTGCCTCTAGACAGTGACATTAAAATTACATGTTAAATTGAAGAAATAGAAATGCCATTTGAAAAAAAAAAAGTAGCACATGTTCTTGTTCATTTCCTTGGCAACTAAATTTCAGTTTTTCAACCTGACCTCATTCAAAAATTTTCAGTTTTGTTATCTTCAATTAACAATATAAAAATTTAATAATCCTTTTGGAATATGGTAAGATTTTATTGATTGATTTGTTTTCTATGGCTTATTAACCCTTTGCAAGTAATTTAAAGCCAGAAAATATTTTTTTAGATTGTAATTTTTTTTTTTTTTTTTTTTCGAGATAATAATTTAGCGATACAAGTCTTGCTAATTAACCCATACTGAAAGAAAAGAGTAAAAAGAGAGAAATGGTTAAGGAGTGAGTGTAAAGTATAAAAAAAAAATATGAAAAGGACAAATCATCACAACATTTTACAGGTATGGAGGTGCTCTTTTTATGATTTCCCATTTAATTTAAGACCACCCATGAACAATAGCAATGGCAGAAACTGCAAGCTCTGCCTTTAGGAAAAATTAACAGTAATTACCTTTTAAAAAGTAAAACAAACTATTAAACAAGAAAAACGAAATAATGGGGAATGTAGACATTTAAATAAATACCTACTTTGTTACTTAAATCCCAATACAAACAGAAACAAATAAACATAACATAAAACACAATATACACTTAATCATGTCCAAACAAAACCCAGATGACAAAGGAAGAAAGAAAATAAGAAAACCATATCCACAAAAAAGAGAAAAAATGCACACCAAGCCCACAAAGGAATATACATACACACAAGTATCAGCAAAAAACAAGCACACACAAACACCTAACCACATAAAAAAAATTAAGCAGGCATATATATATATATATATATATATATATATTGACACAGTAAAAAGAGGTCAGATCAATACAGTAAAAAAGCCAATCCTACATAAAGAAATAAACCAAGTATGGTCAAAAGGGGTCAGCATAATACAAAGCAAACAATCACCAAGAAACGCTACACCACTTAAGAAACAGTGAAAAACCCTAAAGATAAAAATATAACACCCATTAAGTGAAAAAAAATCACACACCCACACAAGGATATAAAATTACATCAAACTATACATAAATAGGAAAAAAATTGAGAAGTAGAAGCAGAGAAGCTAACAGCCATAAAAAGTGAAGGCACTACTGCAATGCGCTCATGAAACTTCAAAGACAGCATAACTGAAATAACACCATTCAGTTGATAAATTTCTCCACATTAATTCTATTGTGCGGGAAAACGGGGGAAGAAAACTTCTTGCGAACCTGAAACGAACGCCT